GCATGTGAGGATGAAAAGGGGGAATTTTTCACATCCCTAAATTCCTTTCGCATGTACGTTCCATGGTTGATTGGTGGGTTACATTCTCTCGGGCATTGTCCCTAACCTCAGCCCAATCTCACAAGACCATGCACAGACCATGACTGGAGACCTTGGAGCACTTTTCCCTCGGACCATTCCAGCATGCTCGGCCCACGGATAACGGATGAACTATCCATGGAAATGCCAACCTTATCCTCAGCTCACTTGGTGCACCACGCCTCCTCAAACCAAATCCCAATTTTGGCCGCTACCACTTTTGGATTGAGGTGTTGATTCGACTTGGGCTTCCCTCCCAACAAGCCCAAGTCCCTTGGTCAAGCCCACCTTCCCTTCCCGGCTTATCTGAATGGGTCCATATTTTGGTCTAGATACATCCAAGTGCAAGATAAGGAAAATATCTTTGATTGATTGGATCTTGTTTTATCCGATTTAGGAATGATTGTAATTTGATCTCTTGATTGGAACAATCTCCGATTGTGATTGATCCTTTGAGCCTCACACTATAAAAGGCCATCAGATCCCCTTGAGACATTCATTCGGAAATTTTCTCTTCTTAGTCTCATCTTTTTCTCTCTTCCGTCTTTGGTTCTTTCTGGCCACCGTTTCCGGAATCCTTGTTTGAACCGTCGGCGTCCCCTTGGTTCTGTTTCGCCACTTAATAAAATTGCCCTCGCTTTTTGGTTCATTTGATTCGATCCCCGCTTCTCCTTTCTCGTTGTTCTTGTACAGTTATTCATCCGTGTTCGAAGAATCCTGCACGACCGAGTCGTCTGTCCGAGGATTCCCCAACGACGTTTGTACTGAGAAACGACTCTGGCCAAGAAACTCCCATTCGACCTAAGTTCCAGCATCGACCCATTCGTCTGTCTGAGAGTTTCCTATCCCAGCGAGAACTCTCGTCCAAACCCCAACCGTTCCACCCGAGGAACTCAGTTCGCTGTAGATCAAGTCCGTCTCTCACCCCGACTGATCCAGTTCGAATCCTGGTTGACGTCCCGGTCCACTCCGACCATCCATCCTCGACTTTTTCCAGAAAGTCCCAGGTTCATGGCACGTTCGGCCTACCCCGTTCTGTACTTTCTCGCAGCCGAACGAGTATCACGTGGTCTGTCTGATCCCAGCGGACTAAATAATGTGAGCAATCCGATTTACAAATGAAGGAAAGGATGTTTTGCTCAGAAATCTGACACAGCCCGCACCAGATTTATAGAAATCCAACACGACCCATTTTAGCTATAATCCGAGTCGTGCTAGTTCATTAGAGACTTGACACGGACCGCGTTAAATGTAACTCGGTCCGAGTTACTATTACGAGTTTTATTTTAAACTACACAGTTTTGGACACCTTTCTAGGGTTTTGTTCTTTTATTATTTTGTTTAGGGTTTGTTGACCTATTTAAGGTCTTATTTGTTTTCTTTTACATGGGGACGATTGTTTTGGAGTTTTTGTGAAATTCTTAAATAAAAGAGAGAGATTCTTCCTTGTTCTTGAGATCTAGTTTCAGACTTTGTGATTGAGTCGCTAGTATTTTGATCGACTTATTAGACACATTTACCACCCATGTGTGTGGCGTCTTCTACCGGTTTTAAGGTTTTTTAACCATGTTTAGGTTGGGTTTAGAAGGTCCTCGGGGATTGAGATTACTCCTAGGTTTGATTCACAAGTTGTTAAAGGGATTTGGTAACATCCACGACTATCCCTTTGATCCCTAATTGAGAACTTTCGAGTTCAGGATCGTATCATTTGGTATTAGAGTCCGGTTCTCAAATTAGGGTTTTTTTTTATATCTATTAGTTTTTTTGTCTTTGTTTTGATATCCTATTCGTTGGGATTTTACTTCGAGATTCAGTTAGGATTTTGGGATTCTATCTTGTTCTTCGTTTAGGCTTTACATATTCTTTTAGTTTTTCCGTTTGATCTGATTTTTGTTTCTAGTTTTCGTGGATTTTGTGTTTTGAAAAAAAGAAGAAAAAAAGAGAAAGAAAAAAAAGAGAAATATATATATATATATATCAGGAAACACTTATGAGAGTCAGGAGGTTCTTGTGAGTGTGACATGTGAAACACCAACCGAAGTGATTTGAGGCAAAAGTGTGGCAACCCTGTTGTGCCACACTGATGGAAGGAGGAGCGGTATAGAGCTTCCAGAAGCTACGTAGTTTGGTGTAGGAGAATAGGAGTGTGGAGGAGTATTGCGATGAGATCAATGATTTGATGATCCGAGCAGGGTTGGACGAGGATGAGGATGATGGGATTGACAAATTCATCAACGGGTTAGATCCGGCCATTCGAGTATGCGTAGAGCCTTACACTTATCTCGAGTTTGGGGAGGTATGTTTTTACGCTATTCGAGTAGAGCGTTGGCTCAAGAGGAAGGAGGATTTACCGCGACAGTCTATATACACGGAGAAGTCAAAGAGTTCATGTCGTATTGTCTATCAGAGCGCAACGCCAGAACCTCCATGTCCGGTATGCGAGCAGAGACAATGGTAGCAGCAAGAAAGACCACGATAGTGCATCCTACACCCTGTGGAATGCATTATGTAGATGAGACCGCTGATGTGAGTAAGGCCACACATGTGGTTGAGATATTCGAGTCAGTCGAGTGTATAGAGATCACCAGTGACAGAAGTGAAGAGACAATGGCCATTGTATAAAGAGAGCATGATTCTGAGCCCAAGAATACAGATACGGAGGAACCTAAAGAGGAAGAGGAAATCCCCGAGGGCAACGTTAAGGCTTGGGTAATGGCGAAGTTGTGGACATACCATGCGTTATAAGTCACATCGATCAGGGTATAGTGCACGTGGATTTTGTTTTTTGGGATGATGATTTTAAGGAGCTTAGAGTGCTTGCGGTTCAAACAAATCGCGAGTTATCTAGCATTACAGAGGAGCAACACAAATGGGAACATCAACCACCCAGGATTAGCGAGATCAAGAAGGGATTTTCTCATTTGATGAGCTATGATGGAGAGTCACATAGAAATAGGCGAGTGGAGTTAGGTGATATAACCAGACGGAGAGATACGCTGCTAGGCTATCTCCATTGGTCGTATAAGAAGAGATTTGTTCGTGATGGGTTGTATTTGAGGGCGAATCCCATTCAAGAGGAAGGGGATAATGTGAGCAGTCTGAGTTACAAACGAAGGAAAGGAAGTTTTGCTCAGAAATCTGGGTATACGAACCAAAAAATACTTACCGTCAAATAACCGCCACGTAGACAAACGAAAATCCTACGTGGCAGCTATTTGATGGTAGGTATTTTTTTGCCAACATTTTAAAAGTATTGAGATTTATTTCAGGAAAAATCAATTGTACATGTATTATTCAGTAATTAAAAAAGTATAGATATTAAATTGAGACGAGGAAAAAATACAGGTATTTTAAAGCGATTCTCCATTTAATAAAATATATTTAAATTATTTAATGTGAAACATTATTGTTATTATATTGTGAATATATGTTTAAAAAATATCATAAAATCGTATGATATTGATTAATCATGCATTTCACCCTAAAAAATATATAAATTAATATCGACAAATCATATTCAACGCATATATAAAAATAATTTTACATTATAATACAATAATATCTATATTTTTCATTTTTTAACATCTTTATATATATATATATATATATATATTATTTTTGTTATATTCATATCAATATTTTTTCATAAGAAAAGAGCAAATATTTTATATTAACAACAACAAAAATCAACAGACACATCGCGCGAGTCTCATTTAGTTATTATAAATTTAATATTATGACTATTATATGACTATATTGTTATTATGATCATATATTTATATTTAGAAAATGATATGATGTAAGTTGTTTTAGCAAAATGATGATATTTTTTTCATACCGTATAAAATTGAATATAATAAAAATCGAATGGTGTCGATTTTTGAAAATCGGAAAACTGTATTCGAAATCCAAAAACTTAAAATTATTTTTTTTTCTTTATTATATCACCATCTTATCACGTATTTATATCACCATTGTCATAGAATCGAGTGTTTTTTTTTTAATCTCTTTTTGTTTATCGGGATTAACGAATTCAAAATTCAGATAAATTTTAAAATAAAAAAATAAAATGTAAAAACGATAAATAATACTTTCACATCCAAAAAATACCCTAAAAGAACCATAATTGACCATCCGTTACAAACGTTACTTTGTAACTGATGAATCAGTTTCTTATTAAATGTTTTTATTATAAAATGTGAATATTTAAATGTTATTTCCACTTTATATAATAATACTAAAATTATTTATTTCGACAAACAATTGATAATTATCTTGATATTCAGCTAAACCCCAACAATTTGTTATTAATTATGTTTGTCTCATTTGAGAACTTTTAGTTACACATTTATATATAATAAATATATGGAACAAACTTATTGTTATATAGGAAAAAATTATTTATATATTGAAATATTAGAATCTTCAGATTTATATTTTTTTTATCCTCTATATGTGATGTGACGATTAATAAATTAAGAAAAATAGGTACAATAACTATACTCCAGACTCCAGAGTCCAGAGGATATTGAATATTATATATAATATAGGGTCGGTCTGTCCATCATTTTTTAACTTTAGGGTTAAAAATATAACAAAGTCGGGGGACATAAACTAAACTTATTACATCTAAAATAGTAGTGGACGTTTCGGTATTCAGTTCGGATTTAATTCAATTCTTTCGGTTTTACAAAAATACATATAATGTTTCTAAAAATACGGTTCGGATTTTTATTAGAAAAAATTAGATCATCTTAAAAAAATTTCTACTTTTCAAATTTTTTTAAAATTGGATTCAATTCGATTTCAAAAAATTTAGTTTTCTAAAAATAATTTAGTAATTTTGGAAAGTACGGATCAGTACAGATAAAAAAAAATATCGTATGTTTCAATTCGGTATGTTTTGGTTCCGAAAAATCGTATCGAAAAGCCCAAAATAACAAAGACACAATCATCAGAGGTACATATTTATTGTTCTGGGCGGCAAGCATTGTAAGACTGATCCAAAAGTATACTCAGATCGTAGTACAAAAAAAAAAAAAAGCGTACGTCAAATAAATAAATAGTCTTTTGTTTTTTTTGTTGGTAATCTTCATCAAAGGGTCATCATTTGCATCTCTTCATAAGCTCTACGAACTCACCAAACACTGCGAAACCAACCATTTGAGCAGTGGTTTAGTTTATAGATTGGCATTCATATCATATGACCTATGTAGAAGAAATGGTTACCGTAATCGGAGTCGTGGGGGCCAGGGGAGGCCTCGGGGTGATACTGAAGGGACATGACGTTCATGGCCGGGTAACGCAGTCCCGCACAGCTCCCGTCGTTCAGGTTCACGTGCGTCACTTCCACTCCTTCCGGCAGTGTCTCCGGTTCTACTGCGTAGTTGTGGTTCTGTCCCCATTTCACATCCACAAAATCCATAAAACAGGCATTGAGCAATGTAATGTATAAAGTCTGCATTTTCCCATCTGGGTATAAAGAAAAAAAGCTGAAAGGTTTCATTCGTGGTGTACCTGAGAGCTGATCTCCACATGCCCTGTTCTGTTGTTACGAACCGGGTGGTTCCCACCATGGTGGCCGAACTTCATCTTGAATGTCTTTCCTCCGAGAGCTTGGCCCAGTAACTGATGACCCATGCAGATTCCAAAGACTGGAACTTTTCCAAGTAGCTCTTTCACTGTCTCCACTGCATAAGGCACTGCCGAGGGGTCTCCAGGGCCGTTGCTGAACAAAATCCCGTCAGGTTTCATCTTCAGCACCTCAGAAGCTGGCCATGTAGACGGGACAATGGTGATTTGACAGCCGTAAGACTTTAGTCGCCTTAAGATGTTTTGCTTGATCCCAAAATCATACGCGATAACCTTTGAACAATTCAAAAAAACAGTAAGCACACACACATACATATAAAGGACATCATTGGTCAGAGGACAGTTAGAGAAGTAACACTCACCCTGTAGGATTCCCCATCCCGAGAATCCGTGTTAAAATCCCAATCTTGTTTTGTTTTGTCAACCCATTCATAAGGTGATTTACAGGAAACGTCGCTTATTAAATCAATGCCTACAAGATTCGCCCAAGCAAGTTACAACCTCATCATAAGTTAGTTAATAAACACGAAAATCTACGAAAAAGGTGGCGAAGTACTGACCTACAATATCCCATGAACGAGACATCTCTAAAAGTTCCTCATCTGTTTTGGACTGTTCGGTGCTCAACACGCCGATAAGACTACCATCTTCTCTTAATCGACGGGTGATTGCTCGTGTGTCAAGATCATCTGATAGGAAAGAAAACCCAGCAAAGGTAGTGCATCGGCGATTTTTCATATCCAATAACATCATCTAGAATCTAATTAATTATCATCGTCAACAACAACGGAAGAAACACTTACAAATACCCATGATGTTCCTCTCAGCTAGATAATCACCAAGTGTTTTCGTGCATCTCCAGTTCGAAGTACTGGAAAATTCCAATTTTAAAGATATCATATCAATGTCTCGACCTTCCAACACGGAAATGAAAGATGGACCAAAATATAAGCACATCTACAGATGCATAAGAATCAAACATGACCTGATACTGATACTTCTTATCACCAAACCAGCGAGAAAGCATTGCCTAGATTCTTCATCGTCTGGGACAAGCAAAATAAAACAGGTCTCATCTCGGGGAACAAAACTTAAAAATGTTCCAAGAAACCGTCAGAGCAACACTTACACCTTATAAGAAAATTTCAAAACACTTACCGAGATTCACACCAGTGTTACCGATATGGGGGTTTGTCATCAGCACGAACTGCCCCATGTAACTAGGATCCGTCAGAATCTCTTGATACCTTCAGGATAATGAAATGTCGATCAGACATCACCAGAACAACTGAGTATTCCTTCTTAATAAGCCGTAAAATAGAAATGGTGAAATAATCAGACACAAGTCTCACCCTGTCAATGAAGTGTTAAACACCACCTCGGCCACACGTGTTCCAGGAGCACCGAAGGACTTAGCCCACCAGATGGAACCGTCTTCTAACACAAGTCTGGCGTTGTATGAACTCCAAGGTTTCTCCACCAGACCTACTACCGGCAATATATGTTTCTCATCATCTTAGATCGCAAAAGGGAAGAAATAACACTCCAAAAAGCCTTAAAGGGCACCAATTCAGAGCTACCAACGTCCAAAAACAGATCAGGTAACTACACCACCGACAAATTCTGTATTAGATAATGGAGGATGCCAAAGTTCATTCTTTTAGCTGGAAAGTTGCAGTTTTTGGGAAATGAACATTACCAAAATGACATGAATGAGCCAAATTTAAGAAGAAGACACGACCAATACCCGACAGTCTTTCAGACAGTCGATTTCTGCTATAAATCTCATCAAATTAGATCGAAATTCACACGAGTATCCGATTAACACGTACAGCTATACGTCCATCTATAGAGAGAAGAGGGAAATGAAATGGCAGTTACCGGAGGGGGCTCCGGCGGAGGTGAGAGGAGAGGCGGAGCATCGGACGAGTGAGACCCTAGCTCCGCCGCGACGGTCCGAATAAGGCAGAGATAATACGGTCGGAAGAACAATTCCCAAAGCCTTTGCAGCCGCCATTGTCGTTTCTCAGCTTTTGCTGCAGCGACCCAGGAAGAGACAGGGAGAGGTCTGATGAAGGACAAGGGTTTTTGGGTTCATAATAAAGTTGGTATATTTATCATGTTTACTTTTTGAAATATCAAAATGACCCCGTATTTATTCATAAGTTTAAGAAAAGGATCAAATTATACAGGAGTGACAAATGAACCCCGGGTTTCATGGCATACTCGAAACTCGTAGTAAAACCCTATTTCTTTGTTCCGCCAATTTCGTTCCCCTTTCTCCTTTTTGCTGATTCTCTGTTCCCGATCTTCGATCACATTCCAGAGTTCGTGCGACTGTTTCTTCAAATTTCACTTTGTTCTCTTGCTTTGTCCCTAGGAAAAGGGTTCGATTACTTTTCTTAATACTCACCAGATGAATGGTTCGTGAGCTTGGTTGTTGATGAATTGATCGAGGATGAGTCAGCCATCGGTGATTCTCGCAACCGCGAGCTACGATCACACGATTCGTTTCTGGGAAGCCGAAAGTGGTCGCTGTTACCGAACCATACAGTATCCCGATTCGGTCCGTTACTCTCTTCCTCGTCTCTGGTCGGATTTTCGATTCTGATCTCAATCCATTTGTCGTGACATTCGAACTTTGTCCCAAGAGAAATCTAAACTGAAGCTATGTTCTTCAAGACCCTCTTTGATATTCTGGGTTTTACAGATACCTGATTGCATTGCCAGTAATCATTTTTGTGTGGCAAAGAGGTGAAGTTCGTATTATCGATGTTACACATGTCAAAATTCTTGGGGTTCTACGTCAAAATCTGTACAAAGTTTGGAATGTTCATCTGACAATGTGCTGCAGATTGGAGTCTTATGGGGAAATTTCTGTTTATCTAATTCTGGTTTAGCCAACAGTAGGATTGAGTTTAGATGTTTTGTGAACAAATCTGTTAACTTAGATTCTAGTCTCATATTCCTATGGAGCCAAGACTCATTGCTAATGGTGGGTGCAGCACGTGAACAGACTCGAGATCACGCCAGATAAACGCTATCTAGCGGCGGCATGTAATCCTCACATACGATTGTTTGATGTTAACTCCAACAGCCCTCAACCTGTATGCCCTTTCCCCTATTTGATTTTTGCTTCTTTTTTGTCTTCTTGTCTTGCTTGAATGATACCGGAACGTTTTCGTCTAATGGCACATCAGGTCATGACCTATGATTCACATACAAACAATGTTATGGCAGTCGGGTTCCAATGTGATGGAAAATGGATGTATTCAGGATCTGAGGATGGCACAGTTAAGATCTGGGACTTAAGGTGCATGATGTCATCTATCTTATTATAGTTTTTATGGGAATGATGTTACATTTTCATCTTAGTTTCGTATTCTTAGTATCAAATTGTCAATTTGAAACCAAATGCAGGGCTCCAGGTTGCCAAAGGGAGTACGAAAGTGTTGCTGCAGTTAACACTGTTGTTTTACACCCAAATCAGGTATATATCAACTGACCAAGCCATTTTCTCGGTATTGTGTTTGTTGCAATCACCTCTAAGATTAATATCTTCTAGAATTAACTATAATCTGTGGTCTCTACAGACCGAACTGATATCGGGAGATCAAAATGGTAATATCCGTGTATGGGATCTCAAAGCAAATTCATGCAGCTGTGAACTGGTAATTGTCTTGAATCCGCAACCTCCTTTATCTTGCCTCTGCCAATGTTGAGCTTTGGGAATGTGTTTCTTTGGGGTTGTTCGTTATAACTTAGGACACTTAGGACATGTTTCGTTCTGCATACTACAGAAGGAACACGAGAAACTTTCTTGAATTTTTTTACCCTTACGTACCTGCCTAACAGAGTTAAAGAACTAAAGTTTCCTAATGTGGTGGGATTATAGGTACCAGAAGTTGATACCGCTGTGCGGTCTCTAACAGTAATGTGGGACGGGACAATGGTGGTAGCCGCTAATAATCGTGGAACATGTTATGTATGGCGCCTGTTGCGTGGAAAACAGGTTAAATTCTCATATACAAGCCTTTTTTAACTGTGGTCTGGTGATAGACTGATAGTCCTGCAGACCGGTTCCCTCACCACTGCTAACTTCTTTCCTTTTCAGACTATGACCGAGTTTGAGCCCCTCCATAAGCTACAGGCTCATAATGGTTACATCCTCAAATGTCTCCTCTCTCCTGCTAACAGGTTGAGTTTTTTCGAATTCTCTCTCCATGACACAGTTTTATTGTTTCTTAGTCCAAGCTCTTAGTTTTGTGATGTATCTTGTAGATATCTCGCAACTGCATCCTCTGACAAGACAGTCAAGATATGGAACGTCGATGGTTTCAAATTAGAGAAAACTCTAACAGGTATTGTCTTTACGTTTTCTCCTCTGGCAGGGTCTTTTATTTTTGCCCTGCATTATTGTTACTGTGATCTCTGCCACATGTATGATTCTATAAACCCATTATCCGTTCTATGACATATAGGACATAACCGTTGGGTCTGGGACTGCGTTTTCTCAGTGGACGGAGAGTTTCTTGTGACAGGTACCTCTCTTCCCCTCCTTTGTTCGAATGGTCTATAACATTCAGAGTCTTCTTATTTAGTCTGGTCATTACTATTGGACAAGTCTGCATACAAGCTAACGCGGCCTAACATAAAACAAAAACACAATTTGTTTTCGGGTAAAAATCAGATTAAACACGGAGAGAAGCTTCTTTAACATTGCTCTAAGACACAAAGCTTTAAAATATCAAGCCGAGAACATATTGATGTCAGGTTTTGGTTCAAGGAGGTTGGTTGAGTGTAGACATATGGGTTTTGTTAATGCAAAATGGGTATTATTGTGTCTGAAAATGTCGGTCCGAACCAGACCTGACCTGACTGACAGACATACACCACCTTAGCCAGGGCATAAAGTCGAGGCCTTTAACCACAAAGCTCGAGATGAGAAATGTTCTGTTGTAACTGGTTTAGAGCCGCTGGTCTGATCTTTACGCCATTTGTACATCGTATGGACGTGCAGCGTCTTCGGACACAACAGCGAGACTGTGGTCAATGCCGTCGGGGAAAGAGGTGAAGGTGTACCAAGGCCACCACAAAGCCACTGTCTGCTGTGCCCTCCACGACTGATCCACTAAGACACAGACATTACTTTATGTTCTATGTAAGAAAATTAAAACCCTTTTTTTAAAAGTTAATGGATTGGTTCATGTTTGCTGCTTTTACATGTCAAAGTAACCCTCCCTTTTGGTTTTTGTATCCCTTTCTTATAATTGGAGTTGGCAAGTTCATCATATTCTTCTTAAGTTGTTTTAAAACCATTAATAACTCTGTTAATATGATGAGGTAGAATTAAATTAAATATCAAATTAAAGCAAAATCTCGCTTTTATACGAATTTATTATTATTTTCTTGATTAAAAATTCTTAAGAAAATGCATAAAAAGTTTTCGACATTTAGTTAAAACTACAAATTTTAAAAGAATTCTTATAAAATATACCAAATTTTATAAAGAATCCAAAAACTTTATATTGAGAAAAGTTCATATATATATATATATATATATATATATATATATATATATTAATTTTAAATTTCGTTTATTAATTATTTGATTGTTGTATCAAAATGAAACTCCCAAAAAAAATGTGCAAGATGAATTCCAACTCAAGCAAACGGGTCGGACTCAGTTAAAAGGCCCATACAAATTGACTCGGCCCGAATAGAGAGGCACTCTGTTCATTGCGAAACCCTTGAAAACCCTAATTCCCTTTTCCTCTCTGCCGGAGTACGAACGTCTCGGCATCTCGTATCTCCTCCGCCTCTCTCTCCTGCGTTCGAAGAAGAAACCCCAAATCTCCTGTCCGCAAACCTAACAATGGCCGAGGGACTCGTGTTGAAGGGCACCATGCGCGCTCACACCGACGCCGTCACCGCCATTGCCACTCCCGTCGACAACGCCGACTTCATCGTCTCCTCCTCCCGCGACAAGTCCATCGTCCTCTGGAAGCTCACCAAGGACGATAAGTCCTATGGCGTCCCCCAGCGTAGACTCACCGGTCACTCTCACTTCGTTCAGGACGTCGTCCTCTCCTCCGATGGTCAGTTCGCGCTCTCCGGCAGCTGGGATGGTGAGCTCCGCCTCTGGGACCTCGCCACCGGTGTCTCCACCCGCCGATTCGTCGGTCACACCAAGGACGTCCTCTCCGTTGCATTCTCCGTCGACAACCGTCAGATCGTATCTGCGTCCCGTGACCGTACGATCAAGCTCTGGAACACGCTCGGTGAGTGCAAGTACACCATCTCTGACCAATCTGAAGGCCACAGGGAGTGGGTGAGCTGCGTTAGGTTTAGCCCCAATACGCTCGTGCCGACAATCGTCTCCGCCTCTTGGGATCACACCGTGAAGGTGTGGAATCTCCAGAACTGCAAGCTGAGGAACACGCTCGTGGGTCACTCGGGATATCTCAACACAGTCGCCGTGTCTCCGGACGGTTCGCTCTGCGCCAGTGGCGGAAAAGACGGCGTGATATTGCTGTGGGATTTGGCCGAAGGGAAGAAGCTGTACTCGCTCGACGCTGGTGCTGTGATCCACTCCCTCTGCTTCAGCCCCAACAGGTACTGGTTGTGCGCCGCTACGGAGCATGGCATAAAGATCTGGGATCTTGAGAGCAAAAGCATTGTCGAGGACTTGAAGGTCGATCTCAAGGCCGAGGCAGAGAAGTCGGATGGAGACACTGGAGCCGCGAACAAGCAAAAGGTACGTCTTTCATATGGTCATTGTATTGTTTTCTTCTGGGTTTTCCACAGAAATCGCATCTCTCCTGGACGAGGTGTTCTTGTTGCTTTGAACATTATGGTGAAGTTGTATATTCGTTTTTTGCCCTTACTGTATATGGATTCATTGCTGTTGAAACTATCTATCTTTCGACTGATATTGCCTGGTTATTTTGCAAGATATAATGTACTAATTAGGCCTTGATTCTTGATTTGTTTTATGGAATTACTACATGGGTGGTGGATTGGAATGACACTTAATCTAAAAAAATGGTTTTAAAGGTAGTTTTTTGTGGTAAAGATTCTGGCTTTCAGCCATATATGCATGTATTTTGTAATGTATTGGTAGCAAAGGTCAAAGTTTCTTTTTTTTGTGTGGAAAATAGTAACAATCTGCTTCACAATTCTGGCTTTTTGGTAACGCGTTTACTGTTTTACCGGTCGTGTTATAAATAAGCTTATTTTGCTGTTATGTGAAATGGGAATGCAGGTCATCTACTGCACGAGCTTGAGCTGGAGTGCAGATGGTAACACATTGTTCAGTGGATACACAGACGGAATCATCAGAGTCTGGGGCATCGGCCGTTACTAGAAGAAGCAATAATATGTTCTTCCAATGATGATTCCTTTCATTTCTATCAAATTTTCAGAAATATTTTAAACCCCTTTGATGATATGCCCCATTTTCCCATGTTAGTTGTCATGAGCTGTTCTGAGTTGTAATCTTTTTCTGATCAGAGAGATCATTTTGGGCATGTTGCGTTTTCAACGTTTTGCCAAAGACAGGACGGGCATTGTTCGTTGCTCATCTCCTTTGTTATCACTAAGATATGGCCCGGCAGATGAGCATTGGCAACCCGTCAAACGTCTTCTACTATATCTTGGCACACGGGATCACGGCATCTACTTCTCAGCTTCGAACTCACCCATACTACATGCTTTCTCTGATGCTGATTGGACGTCTGATGCTGATTGGACGATACTACATGCTTTCTCTGATGCTGATTGGACGTCTGATGCTGATTGGACGAGTGACAGATACAATTTTAAATCCATTCTCGTGTATATTGTGTATCTTGGTTGCTATCCGATTTCATGATCATCGAAAAAACAATAAGGTTTATCTCATTCTTCCACTATAGTAGAATACCGATCTCCAACATCCACTGTCGCAGAGATCCGACAGATTTCTTCACTTCTTTCCGAATTTGGCTATGGATCACTAGCAATACTAGTAATCTATTGTGGTAATATTGGTGTGAACTATCTCAATACAAAACCAGTTTTCTACGTTCATATGAAACACATTATTCTTTACTATCCTTTTGTTCAACGCCTTGTTGAGTCCGGTGATTTTTATATCACTGACATCTCTTCATTTGATCAACTTGTCGAAACACTTGCCAAACCATTGTCCAACACCACATTCTATTACTTATACATCAAGATGGCAAAATAACAAAAATAACCTTAAAAATGACAAGAACAACAGCCATAACCTTAGAATCTCTAGGGTTTCCCAAAAAACCAATATTTTTAATAAAATTACGGAAATACCAGAACAACTAGTATGACCAAAATCTGAGGTATGACCAATTGAAACGGTATAACCAGTCTGACTAAATTTCTGTTAGTCTGACAATCTATATTTGGTATCAGAGCAAGGCAACGATTATGGATAACGAAAAAATTGATTTTTCGAAAGGATTACCATTAATATTAACAAATGAAGATGAATGTTATCCTGGATTTCCTTACAAAGGAAAGGTGATAACAATACCTAAAAATCTTCATAATCAAAGCCGATATTATATTGGTACCATCTTTGATGATGATACTAATCATAATCTCGGAAATAAAATAAAGAAAATGGGTTTTACCCTGAATAATATTGTTGAAATGATTTCTTATGGAATCATCCATCAACATCCAGAATATCACGAGGAATTAAAAAGAAATATTGAAAATATAAAATCAGATCTAGAAAATCAGCTACAAAAATTAATAAAAATATTCGAACAAAACCGTGAAAAACAAGATGAAACTAAAAATATAAACAAAAAATTAGAAGAAATAATATATCTACAAGAAAAAAGCATTAAAGAAATAAAACAAAACTCTGAAGAATTAAAAGAATATATTAAAACAATAATAGGATGACAGAAACTATGAAGGAAACTATAGAAAAACTGATTAAAGAAACAACTGTTGAAATAAAAGAATTACTATTAAATATAAAAGAAATACTCACAACAACAAATAATTACAGTTATAATAACAGACAAATTCAAATAATAAAAGAACTCAACGAAGCTAAAGAGTTAGTAAAAAAATATTATTACAAAAAATAAAGGAAAAGAAATAATAAATCTAGACGAAGATGAAAAACCAAAAATTCTAGAAATAATAGAACAATTACAAGAAATAATCGAACGACTTAATCAAAATAGATATATCACTATAAAAGACTTACAAAATTATTTTAAAAAAGAAACAAAAGAATTAATTATTATCGATAAATCTAATCTTCGAATTAGATCACCACCAAAGATATAATGGAAGGACTAGATGATCAGATAGAAAGATTATCAAAATTATTAGCAGCTCTTAATATACCCGAAGAAGAGCAACCTGATGAAACTGAAAAAATTGTCTTAGACTATAGTATCGATGAAAATCCCTACGAAAATCCATATAAAAAATATAGGAAACAAAAATATATACCACAAAAATATTTCAGAAATAGAAAACAATACAAAAAGAAAAACTATGGTATGAAGGACACATACTGCCCTTCTAAGAAAAAGAATTGTAAATGTTGGCTATGCCAAGAAGAGGGACATTATGCAAATGAATGTCCTAAAAAAGGAAAGAAAAAAGAAACAGAAATACTACGAATAGCATACGATATGGGCTTTGAACCAATCGAATCAGATTCAGAGTTTGACTCTGACATCGAAATATATATATATACCACTGAATCATCCGATTCAGAAAATGAATAGAAAAATACTAAAATCAGGAAACCCTAATGCAACATTCATACAAATAACTATTGAAAAGAAAAAATTATTAGCATACATAGACACTGGAGCAACTCTATGTTTTGCTAAAAGAAATATCATCAAAAAATGGGTACGATTAGAGAAACCACTACGGATAGTTGTGGCCGATAAACCAGCTCATGAAATCTGGTATGTGGCTCAACACGTATCAATAATTATTGAGACTAAAATATTTCCAGCAAAAACAATATATCAACATGATTCTGGATTAGATATAATTATATGAAATAATTTCCTAAAATTATATCAACCATTTATATAGAGAATAAAAACGGTCAGCTTGAAAGCACCTAAAATAGAAAAGAAGCACCTAAAATAGAAAACCAAAAATCAGAATTAGTTACGACAAAAATAATAACAAAAAATGAAATAATAAAATCTATTATAGAAGATTTAAAAAACAGACTAACATTTATAAGTATGACTCATATTGAACAAAAACTTGATGAAATATGTAGTGATAACCCATTAGATATAAAAAATACAAATGAAGAATTAATAGTAATAAAACTAAAAAACCCCGAAGATGAAATTAATGTACCAAATAAAATGCAATATACCCACAGAGATGTAGAAGAATTCACCAAAGAATGTAAAGAACTACTAGATAAAGGTATTATACGAGAAAGCACGAGTCCACATTCGGCTCCAGCTTTCTACGTAGAAAATAATAATGAGATAAAACGAGGAAAAAGAAGAATGGTAATAAACTATAAAAAATTAAATGAAGCAACTATTGGGAATAGTTATAAATTACCAAGAAAAGATTATATTCTCGAAAGAATAAAAGGAAAAAATTGGTTTAGCAGTCTTGATGCTAAATCAGGATATTGGCATCTTCGATTATCAGAAGAAACAAAGCCATTAATGGCATTCTCATGCCCCCCACAAAAACATTATGAATGGAATGTTCTTCCATTCGGATTAAAACAAGCACCAGCAATATATCAACAACTCATGGATAGAAATCTCCGTGGATTATAAGAGTATTGCCTAGCATACATTGATGATATCATAATATTTACAAACGGATCACAATCAGAACACACTGAAAAATTAATCACTGTTCTAGAACGATGCAAAGAAAAAGGATTAATTATTTCTAAAAAGAAATCAAAATTGGTACAACAAGAAATTGAGTATCTTGGATTAAAAATAAATAATAACGGAGAAATTGAACTAACAAATAATGTACATGAAAAAATACAACAATTTCCTAATGAATTGACAGACAGAAAACAAATACAAAGGTTCCTTGGGTGCCTTAATTATGTTTCCGAACAGGGATTTCTCAAATCCCTAGCAAAAGAACGAAAACAATTACAAAAGAAAATATCAGACAAAGTACTATGGTCTTGGACTAATCAAGATACAAATTTAGTAAAACATATAAAAGAGAATATAAAGATACTACCAAAGTTATACAATCCAACGACCAAAGACTTTCTGATTATTGAAACAGATGCATCCAAAGAAGTTTGGGCATGATGCATGTTAGCAATAAAAGATGGAAAAGAATTACTCCATCTTGACCAATACGGTCGTACCAATAATAATGAAGCACCAAAAACCGAAAAACAAAATACAATACTATGCAAATATATTTCAGGAACATTTTCAAAAACTGAGATGAATTATCCAATTCATGAGCTCGAAACACTTGCTTGTCTTCGAACTCTAAAGAAATGGAAAATTGATTTATTACAAACACGGTTCGAATTAAGAACTGATTCACAATACGTAACAGGATTCTGGAGATATAAAATTCAACCAGAATTCCAAAAAGGACGATTAATTCGATGGCAATTAGAATTACATCAATTTGAACCATATATATTAAATATATTAAGTCCGCAAATGATTGTTTTGCAGACACTCTAACAAGAGAATGGAAGGAATAATCAAGACAATCCAGAATCAGATCAGTCAAAAAGACAACCAGATCAAAATAATTCAGGAAAATCTCTCAAAACTCTTTGAGGAGAGGGAAGAGCTGATTAAATCCCTGAATATCATTATAAAAGCAACTGGTGGAACACCAGTAGAAGAAAATAAAAAACAAGAACAAGCAGAATCAGATAAGGTAACACTTCCTACCGACATCAAGGTGGAAGAAAAACCAAACAAGTGGTACGCTATCTTTAGCGGACCATTCAGAGGAATATACGCAGATTATGCAATATTTTCGCAGCATACCAACGGAAAGAAGGTTTCACACCAGGCTTTCCAGACCAAAGAAGAAGCCCAAAAAGCCTTAAACGAATCATACAAGACCATGGCCCAAAAACAACCAGTTGAACCGAGGGCACAACTACCCTCAATGAAAATACCCAAAATAGCCCAAATACCAACCACACAGGAAAAAGAGGCCCTGAAAAAGGTAACCCTCGAGAAGTATCAGTCCTACTGGGCGTCTCTGGTGGACTACAAAGAAAAACACACTACCATGGGTTTTTACCCGAAAATGGCCAGAACCGGACCAAAGGCTATCTTCATTGGAGAAGCCAACCCATTACTAGCCTTCGATTACCTTCAACATGGATTAGTCGACAGTATCTATACTGACTCGATGAGAATATTCGAAGAATTTCCACGAAAGATGAAACCAATTATCAGAAATTACTTTGAACGATTCGCGAAGGAAAGAACTATTTTTATGAAGATTAAGAGTTCAATCCCGATCTTCGGAAAGGATAAGATTATACAGTCACATGCAGTAATACACCTTGGAGTAGCAAAGGGAGAATTGCCTCCAAGAGATGATGCACCAGATTATGAGATTCTAGATGATTTAGAAGCTCATTCATTACTCGAAGTTTTTAAGGCATCAAGAAGGATCCTTGCGGATTCAGATATCAAAGTCAATTATGCTAGCAGTAATGTGCTAATGATCACCTACAACAAGGAAACTATCTCGAAGGAAGAAATGCAAGCCGTAGTAGATTTCGAATTAGACTTCTATCATTTAGAAGGAAAATTCGCAGGACTAGAGGAATCTATCAAGGAACAGCTCTGCAGCTTCCTGATGAGGTATGACGACCACAAATGCACTATCTGCAAAGAGCTAAAGGACAAGATAAAAAGGAGCAGCCAACCACCATCAGAAAAGTCTGAAGACATGTGAAATAAAGAAACCATGTGACTAGTTGATGTAATATGTCAGACCCAATAAAAGATAAGGTGATCAGAAACCTTATCTCTGTAATCTATATTGTGCAATTATGTAGTGTCAAGTGTAAGAGTCGGACCCCAGCATGAGATTCCATTCTTAGCTGATAAGGGTTCCAAAGCTGTATAAATATGTGACCTCTCCATTTGGAGAAGGTAGAGTGAAATAAACGAATTTATTTCAGAACTCTCTCTGAAAGATCTCTCTCAAGAGATTGGCTTGAAGATCTATATCTTCTGGAGGCCTTGAATAGATTCTTTTGAATCACAAACCAATTACTCCAGAACTCTGGAACTAAACACCACCCCTGAACAATATCAAAAAACCGATCAGATCTCCGGATCACCAACAAGGAAACGATCATCACCAACACCAACCGACAGGGATTATCTACAAAAGCGAATCAGGTATGGCATCAACTTTTGCATTCGATAATTTTATACAATCAGATGAAGAATATTTCTTTGATGGAATTATAGACCTAAACAAAATACGAAAAATAAGTTTTGATCTCCAAAAAGATGAAAACTTCGAACAGACTATACTAGGAAAAATAAAGAAACAATTATCGAGAACAAACATAATAAAGTTCGGAATAATGGTAGGAGAAACACCAGTACCAATTGAACAAACTACAGGAGAACTTATTCTACCAATTATTAACAAAGAACAAATCTTAGAACGGCTCAGAAATTATCCCGAAAAACAAAGAAAACAAATAGCCTACATACACTGTAGTACTATTCAAATAATTATAAAATCAATATTCAAAGAAGGTATCGATTCTCCGATTACCTTTCAAATTAGAGATGACATATTAACCAATTATAAAGAAAGTATTATAGCCGAAGGAAAAGGAAATCTTTCTTCTGGGAAAATTAAATTTAACATCAATATACAACTCGGATTATCATTAAAAGATAAAGATTTGGATAATTCAATAGTTATCCAATACAAACTAGATAGGATAGATTTCATGGAAAAAAGAAATCACCCTTTTTCTATAACCTATCAGATTAACTACGCATTAACAAATAGTCATCACAGTTTAAACTTTAGAAACAAAGATATTATAGAAATAGATGACTTATTTAAACCAGTAATTTATTTAAAAAGACCACTAACAGCAATAGAACCAGGACGAAAATCGTTGTTACGACTTAACCCAAGATTAAGTATACAAGAATCATCATCTCTATTATTCAACACTGAACAATCAGAAGAAAACCAGGAAGATTACTCTAAATTACGAAAAACAATATCACAAATCAACAATCTTACAAAATGGATTTCAACGAAGACTTTATCAAAAAATTATCCCTATTAAATCTTGAAAGTTTACCATGTCTAGATCATCTTGAACAATTATTAGTTGAAACTATAGAAAGTATATTTAAAGAACGAACTTATGGAACAATCGAACGAAATGAACTTAATGAAGAAAATAGAAGAATAAAAATGATCAGTTCAATATTTAACGCAGTAAGAGAAATTAAAAAAGATATTATCGAAAACCATAACGATTAGAATGGAAAAAATATATAAGAAAAATATTGAATTATTAAACAAACCAATACAATATTTCGAAACAGAAAATAGTGTAAGAGATATGCAACGAATAATAGAAAAAGAACAAATTAATAATATAATTACAGAATTAAATAAATTAATTACAATAAAAGAAATAAAAGCTGAATACTTCAGAAAACGTTCATCGAAAGATAATTATAACGGATATTGGCTCCCATTTTTAGAAGAAACATTAAACCGGATAAGAGAAATACTAAGTTTTTTCGAAAACGAATTAAAGTCTCCTGAATAAAATAATAATAAAAAACAATTATTATATTCAAGGATAAAATTGGAATTATCAAAATTTCAAGGTCACCCTTGAAGTAAAAATGACATTTAAAGTCATTTTTGTAAATCCCCCATCAAGATTGGACTCACCTCCTATACTCAAATCATAAAAGAAAGATATATCATTATACATCTTTGTAATTATATTAAACCACTTGTATAAATACCTAAGCATGTTAATAATAACTAAGCCACTTTTGCATAATTCTTATATGCATTATTATTTTCTTAATTAAACTTTTTTAAGAAAACATATAAATTTTTTGACAGTTAAAATTTAAATTTTAAGAGAACTCTAAAACAATATATGAAATTTTATGAAGAATCAGAAACTTTGTATTGAGAAAATTTCATATATATATATATATATATATTAAATTTCCTTTATTAATTATTTGATTGTTGTATCAAAATGAAATTCTCCCACAAAAATAAAAGTGCAAGATGAATTCCAACTCAAGCAAACGGGTCGGACTCGGTTGAAAGGCCCATACCCAGCCCATAAAATCGGCCCGAATAGAGAGGCACTCGATTCATCTTGGAAACCCTAGTTCCCTTTTTTTTTCTCTGCCGAAGTAAATACATTTCGTATCTCCTCCGCCTTACTCTGTCCTGCGTTCGAAGAAGGAAGAAACCCCGAGCCTCCTCTCCACAACCCTAACAATGGCCGAGGGACTCGTGTTGAAGGGCACCATGCGCGCTCACGCCGACGCAGTCACCGCCATCGCCACTCCCGTCGACAACGCCGACTTCATCGTATCCTCCTCCCGCGACAAGTCTATCGTCGTCTGGAAGCTCTCCAAGGACGACAAGTCCTATGGCGTCCCCCAGCGTAGACTCACCGGTCACTCTCACTTCGTTCAGGACGTCGTCCTCTCCTCCGACGGTCAGTTCGCTCTCTCCGGCAGCTGGGACGGCGAGCTCCGCCTCTGGGACCTCGCCACCGGCGTCTCCACCCGTCGATTCGTCGGCCACACCAAGGACGTCCTCTCCGTTGCGTTCTCCGTCGACAACCGTCAGATCGTGTCTGCGTCCCGTGACCGTACGATCAAGCTCTGGAACACGCTCGGTGAGTGCAAGTACACCATCTCTGACCAATCCGAAGGCCACAGGGAGTGGGTGAGCTGCGTTAGGTTTAGCCCCAACATGCTCGTGCCGACAATCGTCTCCGCCTCTTGGGATCACACCGTGAAGGTGTGGAATCTCCATAACTGCAAGCTGAGGAACACGCTCGTGGGACACTCGGGATATGTCAACACAGTCGCCGTGTCTCCGGACGGTTCGCTCTGCGCCAGTGGCGGGAAAGACGGCGTGATATTGCTGTGGGATTTGGCCGAAGGGAAGAAGCTGTACTCGCTCGACGCTGGTGCTGTGATCCACTCCCTCTGCTTCAGCCCCAACAGGTACTGGTTGTGCGCTGCGACGGAGCATGGCATAAAGATCTGGGATCTTGAGAGCAAGAGCATTGTCGAGGACTTGAAGGTCGATCTGAAGACCGAGGCAGAGAAGTCGGATGGAGACACTGGAGCGGCGAACAAGCAAAAGGTACGTCTTTCATATGGTCATTGTATTGTTTTCTTCTGGGTTTTCCGTAGAAATCGCATCTCTCCTGGACGAGGTGTCCTTGTGGCTTTGAACATTATGGTGAAGTTGTTTATTCCTTGTTTGTTCTTGTTGATTTCTGTTGGACCAAGAGTCATGCTGAATCTATGGATTCATTTCTGTTTTGCCCGGTTATTTTGCAATATATGGTGTACTAATTAAAGCCTTGATTCTAAAGAATTGGGTTTAAAGGTAGAGTTGTTGGTGATAAAGACAACGGCTTTAAGCTTATATATGCTTGGATGTGGTAATGCATAAGCAGTAAAGATCAAAGTTTCATTCTTTTGTGGAAAATAATAGCAATCTGCTTCACAGTTCTGGCTTTAGATTCTGGTTTTGGTAATGCGTTCACTGGTTCACTGGGTCGTGTTATATAAAGAACCTTACTTTGCTGTTATACACTCGTCGTTTGCTTACTCTGGAAATTGGAGATATGGATAGAGCCTTATATGGGAATGTGAAATGGAAACGCAGGTCATCTACTGCACGAGCTTGAGCTGGAGTGCAGATGGCAACACATTGTTCAGTGGATACACAGACGGAATCATCAGAGTCTGGGGCATCGGCCGTTACTAGAAGAAGCAAGAATGTGTTCTTCCAATGATGATTCCTTTCATTTCTATCAAATTTTCAGAAATATTTTAAACCCCTTTGATGATATGCCCCTTTCTCATGTTTGTTGTCCTGAACTGGTCTGAGTTATAATCTTTTTCTGATCAAAGAGATCATTTTGAGCATATTACGTTTTCAAGGTTTTGCCAAAGACAAGACGGGCATTGTTCGTTGCTAATCCTCTTCGATGTCGCAAGATTTTGGCCCGCTGAACGCGTGGCGTTCGTCGACCATGAAAACAGCGTGGAGTTTCTGTCAAATACTCTGAAACAGAGTGGAGTTTATGCGCACCCAAAAACTATCTTTCCCTCTCGCGTGTTCTCATCTCACAACGGCACATCCCGTTCCTTTGAAAAAGGAGTTATGAAGCTTTGAAGAGATACATCCGATATGGCGGCTTTCGCCACTTCTCTCTCTTCCCCTCCTTCTTTGTCCGTACACGCCTCTCTCTCATCTTCGGCTGTCACGATTCATCGGGACAAGGATGAACAACGGAACAACAACTCTTCCCAGAAGTTCACCTACAGTCGAGCATCGCCCGCCGTCAGATGGCCCCATCTGAATCTCCGTGAGACCTCCGATTCCAGAAATTCAACTCCGTCGCAGCCCGTTTCATCTCCGTCTCCGGCTACCCATGTCGCCGAAACGCCGGAATACGGTGAATTCGAGTCCGACGAACGGCAGTCGGGGAACGACGAAACCGCCGTCGCGGGTAGGCGAAAAAGGGTGAAGAAGATGAGCAAGTTGGCTCTGAAAAGGGCAAAGGATTGGAGAGAGAGAGTCAAATTCCTGACGGATAAGATTCTGGGACTGAAACCAAATCAGTTCGTCGCCGACGTTCTCGATGGTCGTCCGGTTCAGATGACACCCACCGATTACTGCTTCGTCGTGAAATGGGTCGGTCAAGAGAACTGGCAACGCGCGCTCGAGGTCTTTGAATGGCTTAATCTCCGCCATTGGTACTCGCCCAATGCTCGAATGGTGGCCACCATACTCGGCGTTTTGGGTCGGTGGAATCAGGAATCGTTGGCTGTGGAGATATTCACGAGGGCTGAACCATCGGTCGGAGACACCGTCCAAGTCTACAACGCCATGATGGCTGTTTATGCACGCAGTGGTAAGTTCTCAAAGGCACAAGAGCTGCTCGACGCAATGCGTGAGAGAGGATGTGTGCCTGACCTAATAAGTTTCAATACTCTTATCAACGCTAGGCTTAAAGCTGGGGCCTTGACGCCAAATCTGGCCATCGAGCTCTTAAATACGGTGAGGAATTCACGTCTTAGGCCAGATACTATCACCTATAACACTCTTCTCAGTGCCTGTTCACGGGATTCGAATTTGGAGGAAGCAGTGAAGGTTTTTGAGGATATGGAGTCTCATAGTTGTCAGCCGGATTTGTGGACTTATAATGCCATGATCTCGGTGTATGGCAGATGTGGGCTTGCCGATAAAGCTGAGGAGCTCTTCAGGGAGCTTGAGCTCAAAGGTTTCTCCCCTGATGCTGTGACTTATAACTCTTTGCTATATGCTTTTGCCAGAGAACGGAACACAGAGAAAGTGAAGGAGGTGTGTGAGGAAATGCAGAAAATGGGATTTGGCAGAGACGAGATGACTTACAACACAATCATTCACATGTATGGAAAGCAGGGTCAGCTTGATCTCGCATTACAGCTTTACAAGGACATGAAAAGTTTGTCGGGTAGGAACCCGGATGCTGTTACTTATACGGTGCTTATCGATTCACTTGGGAAAGCAAACAGAACGCTGGAGGCTGCAGCCCTAATGTCTGAGATGCTTGATGCTGGGATTAAACCAACTCTGCAGACCTTCAGTGCTCTCATCTGTGGCTATGCCAAGGCTGGGAAGAGAGAGGAGGCTGAGGAAACTTTTGATTGCATGTTGCGGTCAGGGATCAAACCTGATAATTTGGCATATTCGGTCATGTTGGATATATTTCTAAGAGGAAATGAGACAAAAAAAGCATGGCGTTTATATCGGGATATGGTTTCTGATGGTCATACACCGTCACGCAGTCTTTACGAATTGATGTTATCTGGACTTATGAGGGAGAGCAAGACGGACGATATTCAGAAAATCATCAGAGATATGGAAGAAATATCTCACATGAACCCCCAAGAAATTTCTTCTGTTCTTGTCAAGGGTGAATGTTTTGATCTTGCCACTAGACAGCTGAAAGCGGCTATTGTCAATGGCTATGAATTGGAAAATGACAGCTTATTGTCTATCCTAAATTCCTACAGTTCATCGGGCAGGCATTCTGAAGCGTCCGAGCTACTTGAATTTTTTAAAGAACATGCCGGTGGATCTGAGCGGCTCATCAATGATGCACTGATTGTTCTACATTGCAAGAGTAACAACATCGATGCTGCTTTGGGGGAATACTTCTCTGACACCTATGCCCATGACTGGTCTTCTGGTGGTTGCACTATGTATGAGTCTTTAATACAGTGCTGTGTAGCAAACGAACGTAATGCTGAAGCTTGTCAGGTTTTCTCTGACCTGAGATTATATGGTCGTGAAATTTCTGAAAATGTTTGTAGAAACATGGTTGTTGTCTACTGCAAGCTTGGCTTTCCAGAGACAGCTCATCACATAGTTAATCAAGCTGAGACAAAAGGCTTCCACTTTGATAATTCACCTGTATACACTGATATTATTGAAGCATATGGGAAACTGAAGCAATGGCAGCAAGCAGAGAGCGTAGTTGGAGCTCTTAGACAAAACGGGCAAATGCCTGACCTAAAGACATGGAACAGTTTGATGCAAGCCTATGCTGAGAGTGGGTGCTATGAGAGAGCAAGGGCTGTTTTTAACACGATGATGAGGGATGGTCCGTCTCCTACTGTTGAATCCATTAACATTCTGTTACAGGCTTTGATTGCTGATGGGAGACTCGAGGAGCTCTACGTTGTAGTTGAAGAATTGCAAGATATGGGCTATAAGATTAGCAAAAGCTCCATTCTTTTGATGCTTGATGCGTTCGCTCGGGCTGGAAACATTTTTGAGGTGAAGAAGATATACAATAGCATGAAAGCTGCTGGCTACTTACCGACAATACGCCTTTATAGGATGATGATTGAGCTTTTGTGCAAAGGCAAACGAGTTAGAGATGCTGAAGTTATGGTATCTGAAATGGAAGAAGCTGGTTTCAAGCTCGAGCTTCCGATATGGAATTCCCTGCTGAAAATGTATACGGCTATAGAGGATTTCAAGAGAACAGTTCAAGTGTACCAGAGGCTAAAGGAAACTGGACTCGAACCAGACGAGACCACCTACAATACTTTGATTACAATGTACTGCAGAGACAGAAGACCGGAAGAAGGCTACTTCCTCATGCAGCATATGAGAAAGCTTGGTCTGGACCCGAAACTGGACACTTACAAAAGCTTGATCTCTGCTTTTGGTAAGCAAAAGAGCATTGAACAAGCTGAGGAATTGTTTCAAGAGCTTATCTCCAAAGGATATAAACTGGACCGTTCATTTTACCACACAATGATGAAAATATTCAGGGATTCTGGAAACGACTCTAAGGCAGAGAAGTTGTTGGAGATGATGAAGAGTGTGGGAATAGAGCCAACACTTGCAACAATGCATTTGCTCATGGTGTCTTATAGTGGCTCAGGAAAGCCCCAAGAAGCTGAAAAGGTTCTCGCTAATCTTAGAGAAACAAACATAGAACTCACAACATTGACATACAGCTCGGTCATTGATGCTTATCTCCGGAACAAAGATTATAATGGTGGAAGAGAAATGGTCTTGGAGATGAAGAGAGAGGGTGTGGAACCAGACCACAGAATCTGGACTTGCTTTATCAGAGCAGCGAGTCTCTCCAAGCACAAAAACGAAGTCTTGTTACAACTCAAAGTGCTTCAAGACATTGGTTTTGATCTTCCTATTAGGTAAGTCTCCTTCACTTGCTTGTGAGGCTTGGCCTCAATGGAATCAACCCATTAAAGACGAGACTTAACTGAAACTGCTAGCTGATGAATTGTTTTGAAAAGGAAACTGCGATGTCATTGTCAGTAATACAGAGATGCCACTAGTTATAAAAGATTTTAACAAGAAACTTATATTGCCAAAGTGATGGAGGTATTCTCCTTTGTTAATCCCATATCATGTTCAGAATCCTCCTTTTTTATCTTATGTGGAATAACTAATACATAAAAAATTTCTCGCTGATCTCCTTCTTACCTTTTTTTTGTTATGCTCTTCCCAGGATTTTAGCTGGAAAGTCGGAGTTGCTAATTTCTGAGGTGGACGGATGGCTTGAGAAACTAAAACCCATGGAAGATAATGCTGCTCTCAATTTTACAAATGCTCTGGTGAATCTACTCTGGGCGTTTGAACTCCGAGCCACTGCTTCGTGGGTTTTTCAGTTGGCAATTAAATGGAACATCTACAATCGCGATGTTTTCAGGTTAGTGTTCACTTAATTGGCTCTGGGTATCATGACAGAGATCGGTGGAGAATTCAGGATATGATTTGTATGTGCGTTTTGCATTTACACTAGTCAATATGCTAATTTCACCATGTAAACCATTTCATTTGGAGACAGGGTGGCGGACAAGGATTGGGGGGCTGATTTTAGAAAGTTGTCCGGAGGCGCAGCGCTTGTTGCCCTGACTCTGTGGCTTGACCACATGCAGGCAAGTTCCTTTTTTCTCATCTCTCTACTATAATCTCCATCTTCATAAAGGTCCAGCCTTTATTATTAATGCCACCTTATTGTTTTTTCCAGGATGCATCACTTGAGGGGTACCCAGAGTCACCCAAATCAGTAGTATTGATCACAGGGACTGCAGAGTACAACGATGTATCCCTTGAGAAAACGCTAAAGGTGTGTCTCTGGGAGATGGGCTCTCCATTTCTTCCCTGCAAAACACGGACCGGACTCCTTGTGGCCAAAGCTCACTCTCTCAGGATGTGGCTGAAGGACTCTCCTTTCTGCTTTGACTTGGAGCTGAAGGATTCCCCTTCTCTGCCCGAAACAAACTCAATGGAGCTGATCGATGGGTGTTTCATAAGAAGAGGCCTCGTCCCAGCGTTCAACCACATCAACGAGAGGCTTGGAGGGTTTGTGTCACCGAAGAAGTTCTCAAGACTGGCCTTGTTACCTGATGAGATGAGGGAGAGAGTGATTCAGGCTGATATAGAAGGGCACAGACAGAAGATAGAGAAGATGAAGATGAAGAAGAAGATCAAGGTGGAGGAGGAGAAGGCTCGTCGTGTAAATGGTAGAAGGAAATACATCAGAAGAAGAGGTGATGTAGCCACTGCTCACAGGGGATGATAGATTTTTGGAGCATCATTGGCTTTGCTTCAACAGTCAGTGATCCCAACACTAAGGAAAATAGAGAGAGGAAGCTGCCTGTTGGGCTAAGTTTATATACAGGAAAAAGTGTACACATTCTGTTGTACATGTACGGTGTTTTTGTTGTGGATCACTCTTTGGGGTTAATACGGGACCTGAGACTGTTGTACAGAAGGAGACTAGAAAGCGTGCAGTTTCGCGTTGTCTGAAACGGACTGCGTGTCGTTTGAATCTGTATCATGAAACAAATAGTTTAGTGAAGCCCAGTAGAAGGCCATTATTAGGGCCTTATTAGCAAATAAAGATATTATACGGTTAGATTCAATAAAAAATGCCATTTTAAAAGTAACAGCTCGAGAGTTAAATAAAACTACTTTCAGTTTTTTACTAATCTCTATTTTATGTTCTGTCCTAAACTAATATGATTTTTTTTAATCTCAAATATGATTTTAAAAAATAACTGTTTAATATATATATATACACACACACACAAAATTGTAGATATTATAAACTGTAAAAAATATTTATGTAGGAGCTCCGTGTGGAAATATAATTATAACTGTTGTAGCAACCCCTGATCATAGATAAATACACAAAAGTCCAAGTTTTATTCGTTTTACCGTTTGATTTTTATATTTATCTCTTCAAGTTTGGAATGAGTCAGTATACTTTTGATTAGTGCTAGTAATTTCCAAATAAAAACGACTATTATTACAACAAACTCTTCTTAAAAAAGTAAGTAAATCTTGATAAATTTTTTTAAAAAAATAAACATATCTTGGCAAAAAGAAATATCTAGAGTCTAATAAAAACATTGATAATGTATAAACTAACAAACAATTATCAAAGCAAATAAATAAATAGAATATAGGGACAAACCTAAAAATATCTTTCAATTTTCACACTTATACAAAAAAAATCTTCTACTTAAAATTACTTATAAAAAACTATCAACTATTAATTTGAAGCAAAAAAAACCATAAACTATATAAATTATTTAAAATCAATTTCTCACTTTAAATTTGTTACAAAAAATTATCAACTATCAATTTTAATAAAAACAATTATCATCTATCTAAATTACTCAAAAAAATATAATATTTTACATTTATTATAAAAATTAGCAAATTCTGAAAAATAAATAAAATAAATTTAAAATAATATTTGCTACAGAAACTTCTGTCGCAAATCTGTAGTAAATTCAGAAAAAATAAATAATATAATTAAAATGAATAGTTGTTACAGATATATCTATCGCAATCTGTCGCAAATTCTGACACATTTTACATTTTCTGTCGCAAATTACGTTTGTTGTTGCGACGGCAACGTATCCGTCGCATTTCGTCGCAAAATTTCTGTCGCAAAACCATCGTATTCCGTCGTAATTTTGTATGCGACGGAACATTCTGTCGCAAATTCTGTAACTATACGAGAATTTTCTTGTAGTGAATTGTCCATTTGCTCCTTCTCTGAACTCGTATATTAGCACGACATCGTCCGCAAACATCATGCACCACGGTACTTTCTTCTGTATATCTCTAGTCAGTTCATCCATGACTAACGCGAAAAAGTACGGACTTAAAGCGGACCCTTAGTGCAATCGTATCGAGATGGAAAAATCTCGCGTGTCACCCCCTGTTGTTCGGACACTAGTAGTCGCACCGTCATACATATCCTTCAATGCTTGTATGTACTTTACCGATACTCCTCTACGCTCTAACACCCACCATAAAACCTCTCTTGATATTCAATCATAAGCTTTTTCGAGATCGATAAAATACCATGTGCAAATCTTTTTTCATATCTCGAAACTTCTCCATCAAGTTTCAAATGAGAAAGATTGTTTCCATTGTAGACCTTTCGGGCATAAAACCAAATTGGTTTACGAAAATAGATGTGTCGCTATGCAAACGACACTTCACAATCCTTTCCCACAACTTCATCGTATGACTCATGAGTTTGATACCTCTATTTGTGCAACTCTAGATATCTCCTTTATTTTTAAATATAGGGACTAAAGTGCTTTGTCTCCATTCATTTGGCATCGTGAGCAAATCTTTTTCCATATTTTTCTTGTCTTCTTCTTCAACAAACCCTTATTTCTTTTCTACTATTTAAACTTGTCTTCTTCTTCAACAAACCCTTATTTCTTTTCTACTATTTAAATAAAAAATATATAGAAATAATTCTAGAAGTACAAGAAAAATATAGTGTTTTAATATTTAACATTTATATCAATATTATAAACATCAATCTATATATAATCATATACAAATATTATACTTAAAATTGAGTATATTTTATTATTTTAAATATTATATTTAAAATTTTATCATATATTAATATTTTTAGAGGTTGTAAATTGTATATATTTTATTGGTTTTAAATATAAGAGATAATATATATATATATATATATATTCTAAAATAAAATAAAAATATGGTAATTTTTATATGTAATATTGTAAATTGAGTATATTTTATTTGCTATAGATTTTTATATTGAGAATGAAATATTTTTTATAAATTAAAATCGTTGATTGAAATTATTATTGAAATTATTATAGAAATCTATAAAAAAAATTGTTATAAAAAATCAAACTAATGGTTGCAACCATTGAAATATTAAAATGTTACGATAAATTTAAATAAATATTATTTTTTTATTGTGATTTTTAGGATTATATAATTTATATATGTTTTCTATCCAAATTTAATAGATTTTTATAATAAATGTAAAACATTATATGTTTTGAGTAATTTAGATAGATAATGTTTTTTTTATTAAAATTAATCATTGATGGTTTTTTTATAACAAATTTAAAATGGAAGATTAGTTTTAAATAATTTATATAGTTGATGGTCTTTCTTACTCCAAATTAATAGTTGATGGTTTTTTATAATTAATTTCAAATGGAAGATTTTTTTGGTGTAAGAGTAATAGTTGGAGGTATTTTTAAGGTTTATCCCTAAAATATATGTATTGTATTTGTATAACCGAAACCGTTAGGTTTCAAATAAACAGAACATACAAAGCATCTCAAACTATCAAAATTTTTAAAACGGTAGATTGAAAACGGGACAAAGAAGCTCACAATGCCATTTTGTAGTTTGTATACAAATACAAACGGTAAATAGTTCAGAGATCACACTGGCTGGCATCCTCTTCCATAACTTGGCTTTAAATATTCCATCCCAAAACACACTTTCACAAAGATTTTCAAACCCAACAATGGACATAGCAAAGACACACACAAAAGCCTACCACCAAACGGAGATCAAAATCTCCACAAGATACGATGAAAGGTTACAAAAAAGGAAACTTGCTGAAGGATTTTCATGGGTTACCTCCGATCTAAAGGGAGGTCAAGTTCCAGACACGGATGCAAGCATCTTCGCCAGAACTCACGACATGGGAGTCGTCGGTGAAAGCGAGGCCGTAAACTCCGCCCAAGTGAGCTCCTTTTATGGTCATCCGTGACGACGCAGGCTTTTCCACTTCGTACACTATTACACATGTGTCCAGTGATCCTGTCGCCACCTTCTCACTGTCTGGTGACCATGCCACGCAGTTTATACGCGCTGTGTGGTATAACATGTTCTTCAGTTTCACCTGTACAATTAAAGTAAAAAGATCGATCCAATAACTTGATCGCTACCCATTTCATAGAATGGTTTCTTTCTTATTAGAGTATGAAACGTTAAGAGAATTTAAGGTCTATTGTCACCAAAAAAGGGTTTTTATGAGTGACCGATACAATCAAGTTACCTCTCTGGAGACACGATCCCAGATGACAGCTTCTCTATTCAAATCAGCTGATGCAAACATCGATAAATCTGGAGAGTAGCGTATTACGCTGATAGCGCCTCTGTGCTTCTCAAGAACTGCCTCTTCTGTGAGTGTATCGCCACTCACAGTGTACACATGCAGTTTGCCGTCCTGACCACCGATGACGGCTTCGGTTCCATCAGGTGCTATCGCAGATGCAGTCACATTGAAACCCAAGTTAACAGTTGATGCAACTTTCCCACCACGGAGCAATACAACTCCTGAGTCAAAGGTCACGATAACAAGACCAGGAGACAAAAGGGCACGGCTTAAATCATTCGGCTGATGACCTATGTCGATAGCCTCTTCATCAGTGCATTGGTCGTCTTTAAATGAAGCTCGCCATAGCTGGAAATGATGAACAGAGCGAGTAGAAGATGAGGATTGGTAGCATCAGTCACAACTAGCAAACGCAACGATGCTTATAGCAACTCTGATGAGATGTTTCCAACTTATCCGATATTATATAGATCATTTGGCCATCAGTCCAAACATTTTCCATCGAACACCGGATGTAAAACAAAATCCGCAAATCGCGGTGATAAGTAGTACATACGAAAAGTTATAATGAAAGATCATAACAGTTACCTTGTTGTCAAATCCAGATGTCATAATTTCTTCATCATGAGCAGTAAAGCATTTAATTTGAGAGTTTTGTTTTCGTTGAACTTTACCGCAAAAGCCTCGGCCTTGCATCCATTTACAAATTAGGCCGTCATAGCTGCTGGATAGTATATACTGAGGGCTTCCTTTAAGCACGGCTACGGAAGAGACATTCTTCATGTGTCCTGACAACTGAACCGGGGTTTTATCAAGATCACTTGCTGAGAATATGCTGATCGTGCCACCCAGAGAAACAGTGACAATATGATCGTTCTGCCAAAGGCATCCGACGAGCATATCATCCACACCGCCAGATCCAGGACAGTCCAATGTTTTCTTAAATGTCCCATTACCATCCTCCGATATATCCCACACTTTGGCTGACTTGTCTGCAGAGACAGTGAGAACCTGAATAAAAAAATTGAACGCATAAATCTGGGAGCATTGACATAACATCGTCCATATTGGTATCAAGAATTAAAAGATTCAAAAGGTGCAGCATAGAATTTGATATTGATTCTTCATGTGTATATTCGCTGGGTCACAAAATGGATCGCACCCGATAAATTCATATGCTATTCTGATTGACTCATAAAAGCAGACAGGACAGAGCTAAAAATTTCAGGACTAAGCTACTCTGAACATGGTGAAGAAAACAAAAAACAACTCATCCGAATATGAAAATATTTTCAAGCATATAGTGCAAAAACAGACATAATAAGCACCTGTTTACCATCGGGACTCCAGCTAACAGCATAAATGCTACCTTTATGCCCACCATCAGAAGAGAGTTCTCCAATTTTCTCACCAGTCTTTCCATCATATAAGATGCCTTTTTTATCCGAACTTACACTTATGAACTTGCTTCCATCTGGGGCAAACCTCACACAGTTGACAAAATTGGAATGATCTCTGTGGGCCAAGAAACCACAAACTTGTAAACAATATGAATAACCTCATTTCAGCAAAAGGAATAAAACGCATAGAGAATCCTTAGTCGTTCTTCAAAATGTTCTGGAGCACCAGACCTGCATGAGAGCTTGAATTTGAATGGAGGCCCCTCGTAGAAATTGACCAGAAAATCCTCTCCACATGTTACAATGCGGAATGGTCTGGTTGGCTTGAAGGCACAGCTAAGAACCCGCCTAGAGTGACCATCAAACTCACCCACATTTGTACCTGAATCCCACCTGATCAAAGGTAATCATGTCGTAAGAGCACTGGTAATCAAACAACACGAGAAATCTCTTCGAGTCGAGGATCCATCAGACTGGCATTGAATATCAAAGCAGCAAAGAATGGGGAAAACAGGGTGCTCAGTTAGATCACACACACACACAACCAATGAAAGAAGCTTAAATTGTGTCCTGTTCCAAGCAATGAATGAAGCTTAGTTAGACTCAATTCATCACATTATGTACGACAGAATCTCACTCCGGATCCGACTCCACAGGATTGAAGAAGACCAATCCGATTCGGTCCAACATATTATGAACGTCGTAATTGAGGAAAGAAATGCTCAGTCCGACTGCAAACAATCAACCATGGAAGCTAAGTCCGAGCCGCAAGTCCGTGGGGATCTAGAAGGCTTAGTTCGATTTCTGAATCCACTGGATGGAGAAGCTTAGTTCGCGAGATCAGTAAGAGCTCGAGAGAGAAGAGGTCACAATAAAATCAACACACTCACATGAAAGCACGAACAAGCGACTTCCCTTTGCCATCACCGGAGGCGACAATCCGCATCCCATCGGGAGACCACTGGAGATCGTCGATCCGACCAGACAAGACCTTGAACTCCTTCTTCAGCACGTGATCGTTGTGCGTCCCCCAGATTCGGACAGTCCCGGAGACATCGGCGGAGGCGATCCCCTCCCCGT